GCTGCCCGAGTCCCTGTCGCTTGTCAGGTAGGCTCCCGGGCCTGGCAGTGTGGGTGGAGGTCCTTGAGGCGCCGAGCGAAGCAACGCGAGTGCCGGGGATTTTCTGCTCTTCCCCGTCCGCTGAGGGACCGGGGCGGTGAATTATTTGAGGTACATTGGGATGAATGGGATAGCGGGGGGGTGTCGGGGATCCGTCTGTATAGGAAATGCTCTAAAAGCAAACGCTTGATTTGGTAAGGTTTAGGCGTGGTTCCTAGTCGTGATCTCTCGGGAAACGGGGGAATGGCTGGGAGGGATTGGCAATCTGGGGTGATTTCCGTGTGTGTCGTCTTGTCCTCTTCTGCTTCCCGAGCATGGTGAAAGTAGTGTGGAGATGGAGGCAAGAGCTAGCTTCCGGTGGCGTGCGGTAACAGTGTAATGTAAGGCCAAGGGGGCGGTGGTGGTGGAGGCTAAGGGTGTGCTTCGATCTGTAGGGTGCAGTCAGCGGCTGAAATAATTCTAATGCCTTACTCATTCTGTGCTTCCCTAGTCTTATAGCTGCTTTTCACTGGTGGGAGTGGTTACTTCTGAGAGCACCCCCACTCCACTCTGCCAACTCGTCAATTAAAATAGCATTTGAAGCTATTTTTGTTAATTCAAATGGCTCCTGCTTTCCTCTTACACTGAATTTCTAATAGTTTAATCACAGCTACTTTGTCTAAAAGTTCATGCAGAAAGAAAATGGCATCCTGGCTAAAATTGAAGTGGATCTATGAAGTGGACAAGTGTTTAGAATTTTGAGCGACAATATAGCTTTTTATAGTTAGCCCTGCACTGATAAAAAATTTGCATCTGTGTATGTATCTGCAAAAATGAGCCACAGATATTCATTCTGACTTCTAAGATGTATATAACCATGCGTGTTGTCACATTTGTAGGGTTTTAGATAGAAAATTTGTATTGTACCCACAAAAATGAGCTGCAGATATATCCACATCCACTGATGTGGATATAGAGTTGATATTCATGGATTTGCAGGGAATGATCTATAGTACCTTTATCCCAAAAACTTCAGATTGAACAAATTAAAAAAAAATGATCATACATTTTAAGATACTTTTAATGTTAAAACATTTATTTAGTACTGATGGTGTCTTTGTGCTAGTTACATGATGTTTTCTTTCTGAGGTAAATATATATTGTTTAGAAGATGTAAAAAAGACTTTTACTAGAAATAGTCAATTAGTGATGGATTGTTGTTTATCTGTCATTTTAGCTTTTGGGTACCATTCAGTCCCTTTACTACCGTAATTAGGGATGTAATAATGTACTTGGCTAACCAATGAGCTGCGGGATGGGGGGCACTGGCAGGCGAGAGCAGGTATGTCTGGGGAACTGGCTTACAGCAGCATGGGGGAGAAGGGAGGGCATGTAAATACACACATTTTAATATCCCTAGCAATAATAAAACATTTTTTTCTGTTCCTGTAAAGCAACAAGAAGCTAAACACCAGCATCTTCACTGCAGTAGTATTGTGTTGCAGATGAGACAGACGGTGGTAGACTTAACCCCCCCCCCCCCCCAAAAAAAAATCTTCTAGGAAGCTCTCTCAAACAGCATGCCTGTTCTTGTTAAGAGAAATGTGTAGTATTGAACAGTAAACAAGCTACTTAGTGCATAAACTCAAGTATTGCGTCCAGTCTTGCTTTATCTTGAAGTTTTAGGTTTCTGTTTTAATAGAAAAATATAGTGCATACTGCCTATAATGCATACTGCCTGTGGTGATATAAATTTAGAAATTTGTGCTGTATGCTAGTGTTTTCAGAGCATATCACTTATCTGACATTTACCATACAGCTAAGACAAAATTCAGAGTGGGAGATGAAAGAAAATGCGACCACAGTATAACATTTTTAAAAACATTACAATGATTAAGAGAACTTTACAAGATACATTTTTATCTAACTGGTCTTTGTTACTGCTCTTTTAGAAAACAAACTGAGATTTCATGGAAGGAAGACACACTTAAACTATTTTTATGTAAGATGATGTAGGATACTACAGTCTGACACTGGAGACTGCTTCAGGTTCTGCATTTAAATGAGCAGAAGCTAAGATGTTATGATTGCAAAATACCCTGCATCGCACATTGTATATGCTGCAGGAGAAATTTTATTGCAAATGTTTAATATTAAAAGGGGGAGGAGGGAGAGAGACACAAAGGCCCATGAAGGAAACAAAATGTATTAAACTGGAAAAATACTGGAGATAGTTTACAAGCCTTAAAGATGATTTCTGTGGAAAATCCTCATTGATAGGACCTTCCTGTTCAATATTTTGTACACTTAAAAATCTCAATGATTTTAACTTTAATGGTATATTGAGGTGCAACCCTGAAATCTAACATTATATATAAAATTACCAATTTCATCTCATACATCAGATGTCTGCCACACGTTACATTAAAAATAATGAAGCAAAGGTTCATTGAATGGCTTTTTTCCCCACTTAGCTTACACGGTTCTCTCTAAATCTTTCCTTTCCATGTGCTATCTTGCTTAATTTAAAATGGAAGAATATTTCAAGAATGAATTTTTACTTGTGTAATTCTATGACTGTTACAATTTTTTAAACACAAACAAAATTAATAAACTTAATTCCAATTTATGTAGTGTAGTGTTAAAAATAATTTATTGAAGAAATTGTTTCAATGTTAACTATTAGTAGTCATTCTGTGTGCTTAACATCCCTAATAACTAACATGTATTTGTGTAAATGTGTAACTGCTGGATTTTTGCAGTGGTTACACGTTTACACGGCAGTGGGGAAGAGAAGGAGGGAGCCAGTGCTCTGAGAGCTGGCTTGAAAGCTGCTTCCCGCTTGTACCAGCTCTCATCTATCCTGTCCTCCCCCTCTGCTGCTGCCTCTCTATCAGAGGCAGCAGTGGAGGAGGGGGGAGGAGGTGAGAGACAGGTGGCTCTGCTAAAGGCAGAACGTGGGAGAGCCAGCTTTCAAGCTGGCCCCCCTGCTAATATCAGCTCCTACTCCCCCTTTCAGCCTGCTGCTGCCTCTGTATCAGAGGCAGCAGGTGACTCCACAGGAGCAGGTGCTCATGGGTAGCTGATTCCCCATGGGCACTGGCTCCTGCCTTCTTGTGTGTGTGTGTGTGTGTGTGTGTGTTGGGGGGGTTGTAACTGTTACAATTAACCAATAAACCCAGGCTTATTGGTTAATTGTGTAAATGGCTACATGCTAACATCTCTAATAGTTAAGTTTTCTTGAATTTAGTATGCATGTCAAGAAGCATAATACATAAATTTCTGCATTGTGACATTTCAAGATTTTAAAATCTATTATACTAGTTAAACAAGTTATTTGTGATTATGAAACTATTTTCACTAACTTGCATATATATCACTACCCTTCAAAGATTCTTATTGTCATCTATTGGTCTCTTAAAGAATATCACTAAGCATGGGTAATGGTATGACTTAACTCTTCAAATGGCCTTAAATTTAATTTGTAAAATCTTGTTTTCTAGTTCTTAAAGGCTGAATTTAATCCTTTCCCACAAAATGTTGAATATTTTTATTATCCGTTAATCAATTATTTAGGTTCAAAGTTGTTCTAGATCATGAAAAGGCAGTTGTCCTAAACAAGTCTCCGGTGGGACTTGTCTACATGTCTAAACTGTATGGCAGCTTTGCCTTGCCTTACCAGAGGCATGCTGTGGGGTAAATGACGGAAAAAGCATAGGGCAAGATTGAAAGATTGCTGGTATACCTAAAGCCAAGGTCTTTTGGCTTGCAAGTTGGATCTCTGTTCTTTTGGGCAGCAGAAGACTGAATTCTAAGCTAATAGTGGAGCAACTATGCTGAAGAAGCAAAGTGACAGTAACACAAAAAAGCACCCTTCAATGGCAGCTGTGACTACAGGTTGAACTTCTCTAGTCTGACACTCTTTGCTCCAGCAATATCTGTGGTAGGTATGTTTTTAGTTAGTTGAATGTCCAATTATCATTGGTGTGGCCAAGTTTACTGTGGTCCCATAAAATTTGTTTACAGCCACCAGTCCTGGCTCTCAGAGTTCTGTGCTATTTAGCTCTGATTTACCACTAGAAGTCTGAGCTCAGTAAGCAGTGGACGTATTGGTAATGTTCAGGGCTCGCCAGCTGCGCTGTCCGGTGATCTGCGCATGTGCAGATCGCCCAAACCCGGCTCGTCTGGGTTACAATCTACTCGCCTGGGGTGAGTAGGTTGTATTATTTGTCAAGCCCTGGTAATGTTGCTAGGCAATGACTTCTCACAGTTTGGCAAATTCTCTGGTTTGGCACCAGTCAGGTCCCATGAATGCAGGATTAGAGGTTCAAGTGGTGTTACCAATAATCAAGTAGGGGTCATCAAAAGAAA